GTGAGGGAACTGGGAGATAAGCAGCTTATGGCCATACCACCCTGAGCATGTCTGATCTTGTCTGATCTCAAAAACTAAGCAGGGTTGGGCTTGGATAGGACTTGGATGGAAGCCTGCCTGTGAATGCCAGGTGGTGTGAGCGTGTTTCAGAGCAGCACAGAAGCAGCTTTAGTGAAGGTTACAAATGATCTTCTTATGGCCTCTGACAGTGGACTCATCTCTGTGCTTGTCCTGCTAGACCTCAGTGCAGCATTCGATACTGTCGACCATAATATCCTATTAGAGCGATTAGAGTTTTTCCTTCCCACTGTCACCAAAGTGCTGCTCATAGGGGGTCATATGATTGTTGGGGGTTTTCTCTGTACCTAATATTATAGGATAAAGTGTACAACACAAAGCACTGTGAGGCGACTGTTGTGATTTGGCGCTATATAAATAAAATTGAATTGTATTAACTATTATGAACTCCGGACTTAATAGACTGGTCATTTAAAATATTTTGTCACTTTAATTATAAAATATGATATTTTAAATCTTTTTTTACAAAATGTACAAAGTTCCCCTCCATTGTAGAAACTAATATTCTAATAAAAACATTTTTTCACAGTCCAGCTGTTTGGCACCTTAGATTATGGTTTAGAAACAGCTGATAAAATAACTCCACCTCTCTCTGCTCACTGATGCTCTCATTTTGTTTGTTTTGTTCTTAAACTTGCAGCAGAGCCCGTTACAGCAGGTGGTGCTTGAGGCGGCTGCTGACATGGCCTTTGCCCAAGAGTCAGCTCTGCTCTCAGTGTGTCTGTGTGTGAATGTTGTGATCAGACTGCAGCTTCTTACAGGAAGTACAAACAGTAACTATTGATGGTTCATGTTTCCAACAGCTCTGCAGGAGGGAAACCCTGAAGTCACCGATGCTCAGATTCTTCACTATGGAGTCATTGGAGGAGATTTGAAAGCTGGATTCTCCTTTAATTCTGCAGGAACATGGAAGATGTTCTGCAGAGAAGAATGTGAAGGAGAAAACATTCTCATTAATACAACTGATGTCAGAGCTCAAACAGGCAGATACAGCATTGAATATGAATGGACTGGTTCTCATGTTTTATCTGTGAGCATCTCAAAGCTGACTGAGTCTGACTCTGGACAGTACAGCTGTGGTTTTGGTGGATCTTCATCATCAGCTTCACTCACACCGTTTGTGATCGTTGTTGCTGAAGGTGAGTTTCTGTTTCAGCTGTGGAAATGTTTAGTTTCTGTTCCTGAAGCAAAGTTTGAGTTTCACTGACAGCTGCTGACGGTTTAAAGAAGCTGAAGTTTGTTCTTTATAAAAATCTCAAATCTGGAAAACTTTGGTATTGAAATATTTTGAAGGAATAAATCGGTCGCAAATAAGGATTTTTTTTCTCACTGTGCTTAAAGCTGATAATTCAGTAATAAATAAGACTGTAATCTAATCTATTAAAATCTAATAATGTGCAGATTATGAAGCAGCATCAGTGGCTTCTGCAGCACTGATAGTAACTATTGATTGTTTGTCTCTTTAACAGCACTGCTGGATGGAAACGATGATCAGCTGAAACACTTCGATAAAGAAACTGGAAGCTCTCTCACAGTCGGATGTTCCTTTAAACAACCTGGAGACAGAGGGTTCTTCTGCAGAGGAGAGTGTGGAGGAGACAACACTCTTGTTCAAACAGATGATGTCAAAGCTCAGAGCTGCAGATACAACATTGGATATGCTTCACATACAGATCCAGGAGTTCTGTATGTGAGCATCACACAGCTGACCAAGTCTGACTCAGGACGGTACAGATGTTTACTGAGGGATCTTCCAGCAGTTCATTCAGAGACTTTGAGGTCACTGTCACAGACGGTGAGTTTTTACTGACATTAATCAAATGTTGTCAGAGTGGAGCTGTTCAGCTGTTCCTTATTTCCTGTCATATATCTGCTGTTCCAGTGGTGGATGTTCATGTTGAACACGAGCAAAGTTTCTAATAATGAGCTCAGTGTCTGTACAGTGATCCCTGTGAGCCAACAGCTCAGGCTGCTCTCAGCACTCAGTTTATCTCAACATAGAAACAGAATTATTTAGAACAGAATCAACCTTTTGGAGTTTTTCTACTCTGTACAATGTAAAATAAAGTGGAGAAGCCTTATGGAGACTTTGCTGTGGTCACAGAAGCCCCGTCTACCTGCTTTCAAATCTCCTGTTTTTGAGGATCAGCCTCAAAAGAAGACGTAAAGCTGAGAAGTGATGAAGCAGCTTGTTTCAGACAGAGAATGATCTGATGGGCTGCTCCAACACACGAGGCTCAACTGTAAAAACACAAAGTTACTGTAGTACAGAGCAAGAATAAAAATACATGGAAGCTGTATGAGCAGAATAGGTCCACTTTAACGTCTCTGGTAGCTAAATAATGTTTTTATTGATCATTGCAGTTGTTAGTGTTTCAGGCATCTGTATATAAAAGATAAATAACACAAATATTTAATTTATCACTTTCACAGTCTTTGTGAAGAAAATTAAGAAAATGAAGTTGTTCACATTTTTTCCTTTATTTTCTCCTCTGGGGTTTCTGTCTAGATTTTTATTTATTTTATTTATTTTTGTTCACGTATCTAACCACAGCTAAAGCTCTCTGATCTTTTTCACCAGTCATCCCATCATTAACTGGACAGAACCAGTATGGGCTGTATGTGGGTCTGACTCTGACGGTCACCATCATCCTGGTCTCAGTGTCTGTGCTGATATTCTACAAGAAACGATCCTCTAAACGAAAAGGTGAGACAACGGGAGCACGGATGACACTTTCCATTTCTCACAGTAATGAACATTTTAGTCGTTGGCATCTCTTTACAGTTAAATAAAGTTTTGGAAACACATTTTTTGTATTCAGAATATTTTCCCATAGAAGATTTGAAAATGCAGTGTGTTTCCGTCACGGTTAGCGCTGGCCGACCGTGGGGAAGTGGGGAAAGGAGGACCCAAATGCTGGACTTATTTACAGTGCAGTAAATATTCTGTCATGGTCGCTGTGTGGCAGGCAGGATGAGGACCCAAAATGCAAACTCACAGACTCAGGGGATAAACTCAAAATGCAGCTTTATTGCTGACAGGTGACAAACGAAAGCAGTGATACCAAAACAATACAAAACTAAACTGGGAAAAGCTAATTGTAACATATACCAGAAGACACGGGGAGAACCACACACAGCATGAGGGAGAACGCGACGCCGAACAGAGGGAGACGCAGACAGAAATACACAGAGGGTTAACGAGGAAAGTGGGAACACACGGGGAACACAGCTGACACAGATAACCATAACGAGACAGGGCGGGGTGAACATAACACTGACGGGAGACGGGCAGAGTCAAACAGGAAGTACAGAGGTTCAGACAGGAGGAGAGAGAGCACGGGGAAAACACAGACATAACGGGCTGGGGAAACATGGAATAAAACATAAGGAGAGACGAGGGCTCACAGATACACAGAGGGGCACACAGGGGGTAAAAGCCACGAAGGGAAAACACTTAGGGAACAACACAACAGGGCAACTCAGGAAACATGGCCTAAATAGGGAACAAAATACAAACATACAAGAAAACTAAGAATACTGGGCCAACGTGGCCCAGGACCATGACATATTCACATAAATAATCCCGTGGATTCCCCTGACTCCCATGTTGTGTCTTCCTCCTCAATAAGTCCGTGCCTCGTGCTCTCCACCCCCATGTGTCTGCACTCCCCGTGCTCGCTGCTCTCTGGCTTTCCACGCTCTTCCTGCAGGAAGCATTAGAAGCAGATGTCAGGAGACTAAAATACTGCAGGCATGCACTCGCTGGACTTGACACTAACAACACTAACGTGGAGTCTCATGCAACAATCCTGCACCGGTGGGAGCTCCATCATTCTCTCAAGTAGCTCCCCCGACGAGCCTGATCAGCAGCAGGTGTGTGAGGTCCTAAGGTGTGGCCAGTGCCCCCCCCCCCCCCCCCCACACACACACACACACACACACACACACACACACACACACACAAACCCAGAAACCAGGAAGACGAGAGACAGCAACACCAAAAGTACACGTCCATAACTGCTCATAACTGTCAGGGACCCTGAGTCTGACAGTTACTTGTTGAAGGTCCAAACTGAATTCAGGTTAAGTTATAGAATTGAATAATCCCACACTGGCAGCACCAGCAGCAACTTCAAGCATTTAAACAACCAGGATTCTTGAAGTGTTTTCATTTTCAAGCTTTTCTGGCACATATGTGGTTTATCCTCTTGATGACTGTCCGAAATGCTGCTGCTCACTGTCTTTGTGAACAGATGAACATTTCAAGACATCAGGATTTATTTGCAGGGACCAGTTGCACCTGACCTTTCAGCTGTAATAGTTTAAACTCACCTTTGTGCTTTTTTCAGATGTTCCTGTGGAAACACAGTATGCTGATGTCACAGAGGTGAGTTTGGGGAACTTTGAATCTTTTAAACTGTTCAAGAGTCAGAGCTCTTTTGAGCCAACCATCCCTTTAACGTTAACTAGTAATGACTTCATGAACTTCTTCACAAATAAAATTTTTATCATTAGAGAAAAAATTACCAATAATCATCCCACAGATGTAATATTATCTACAGCTACTCTTAGTACCATTGATGTTAAGTTAGACTCTTTTTCTCCAATTGATCTTTCTGAGTTAACTTCAATAATTACTTCCTCCAAACCATCAACGTGTCTTTTAGACCCCATTCCTACAAAACTGCTCAAAGAAGTCCTGCCATTAATTAATTCTTCGATCTTAAATATGATCAACCTATCTCTAATGATCGGCTATGTACCACAGGCCTTCAAGCTGGCTGTAGTTAAACCTTTACTCAAAAAGCATCTCTAGACCCAGCAGTCTTAGCTAATTATAGGCCAATCTCCAACCTTCCTTTACATCTACTTGGTGTCTGTATATATAATGTATAATTATTTATCCAATTAATTATTTTTTTGTCTGGGGGTGTGGAGCCTGGGTGGGCGGCTTGCGTGACTGGTTGTAGTGCACCTACAACACCTACAACTGGGCCGCTGCTGGCTGCTGGTGGTGGTAGTGGGAGGCTCTGGACACTGGTGCAGACTTTCATCCATGTTTCTCACACAGCACACTGCTGTTCTCGGCTTCTTGGTCTTGGCTACTTTTGGAACCAACTGGGTCTCATGATTTCTCATCCTCTCATCAACCCTCTTTGTTTTCTATGATGTTTGAATTGTTGTGATTCAGGTGATCTTGATGGGGGTCCAGATGTTCTGTCAGGACAACTGTCCACACTGCCTGGTGTGATCAACACTAGTGTGTTAACCATTGTTTGAATGTTTGGTTTCAGGGCTTTCACACATATGCACGCATGCACACACACATTAGAAATATCCTGTCTCAGAGTGACGCTGAAAAACTAGTTCATGCATTTATTACTTCCAGGCTGGACGACTGTAATTCATTATTATCAGGAAGTCCTAAAAACTCCCTGAAAAGCCTTCAGCTGATCCAAAATGCTGCAGCAAGAGTCCTGACAGGGACTAGAAAGAGAGCAGATTTCTCCTACACTGACTTCTGTTCATTGGCTTCTTTTCTCTCTTTTCAGGCGACAGACAACTCAAACAAACTCACCCATAGTGCACTGAGTTTTCTTAACAAGGCCCGTGTCTCTCCCAGCAACGCCTCCTGTAGTAACACCGATGAAGTTGTCTCCTCCGTGTCTCGAGTACGTAGGATGCCAGAGATCATCTGCTGTCCTTAACTGCAGATCATTTTCAGTGTTGCTGCCACAATTCTCTAAATGGATGAAATGAAGCTGCTTTCAGCCTCCGTGTAAATGTTCTAGAAAAGATTCAGATTGTATAATTAATAATGAATATTTGTCTGTTTTTTAGAAAGTGCACTTTAAGGACTTTAGTCCAGTTTCTACATGTAAAGCCTCAAACTACCAGAACCTTAATGGAGCCACCAGAGACCAGGACCAAATCTACTCCACACTCAAAATCACTGACCAGACTCTCCAGACTCAGAGCTGAACATGAACATCGAAAGGACAATAAAAATCAAATAAAATTAATATTTCTAGTCTGGGTTAAAAGCCAAGCCAAAAAAAGATGATGCAGTGAGTCAGAGTAGCGTCCAGTCATAAAGCTGGCCAAGCTAGTTTTTGCATATTTGTGAAGAATTCATGTATCTGTCATATTAGCAGTCAAAACAAAATCTTTTTAAAAGCACAGAGAAGATTTTACTCAACATCAAGTAGGATTAGAAACAACTTTAGAACTTAATAACTTAAGTTACTTAATAAAAAGACTCGGGAGGAGTGTCGAGAATCAATGAATCAAACGTTCAACCACTCACAAATATCCAAGTCAACAACTGTACATCAGCAAAACAAGCAGTGTTCAGCTTATGTTTGTAAAACAATAAACTGTCATTTACAAATACTCGTCTCCAGAGTCGAAACAGAAGTATGAAGGCTTGTGAATATGCTCCCCCCTCTTTCCTGGAATAATGTCCAGAAGGAGCCGACACTGTGGGAACAGTTTCCTCTGAAGGAGTTTAACATGAACCAAGGAAGTTCTTGCCTTGGTTAGTGTGGCTGCTTTTGCTGTCGTTCTTGACATGTTATTGTGTAGAATCTGGACGTTGTGTTCATTTGTCGCTGAATTTGTTTCTTCACTTGTTTTTTTATTTGTTGGCCAAAGAGATTTTAGTCTGAATGAGACACTTTACCAGGACAAATAAAGAAATCATGTTATCCAGGTTGTTTAGCCACAACATGATAATTATGATGATACAACAATGAAATCATGTCTGTAGATCTGTATTCTGCTTTGCGTTACTAATCTGCCTGTTTCTAGAGCACTAATATTTTCATGTGGAGCTTCCCTGTTGCTGTGATGGGACTGATGCTGCTGAGGGAGGGGCCTCAAATGTAAATGAGCTGTTGGTCACTGCTGGCACTCTCCTCTCATTGCAGGGCCACGTTAGAGTTCAAGTAGGACAAAACAAACAAAGAAGAAAACACTCGTAAATATTTCAGAAAATTTGGTGTTTTATTTATTTTTTTATTGCAGATATTGTTTAACAAGACAAAACTGCAAACTCACATTTGTTTCTCACTCTTAACTGAAATCTTTCACTTACCAAACAAACACATCGCTCCTCTCTGTCTGTCCAGACACGTGGCTGCACTTCTGCTGGCATTTTGTTCGTATGTAACAAAGTAAAAAAGTGTACACATGAGTTTGTGACTCTCACTGAACTAACACAGCCGATCCCTCAGCGTGTTGGTGCTCTCTGCTCATATTAAATCATTTTTGGCTTTTTATAGAACTTATTTTAACATTTCACTCAAAAACAAACAAAAAAGTCACTTCAGGGGCCAAACTGTGTTATATTTCATCAGGTCAATATCTGTGTGTTTGAGCTCCCGGCTCTGAGGGGAACTCTGAAACAGTTTTTTCCTCATAATCGTATAAAAGGAACTTTGATGTTCTGCTATTTTCATTTCATCTGAAACCCACACTCGGCTTCAATACCGTGGGATTCTTAACCACAGTGTTGTGTAAATTGTAGTTACACAAGAGAAACCAGCCTTCAGCTTCCATGTGAGTCTGCATTTTTCTTTTGTCTTTCATATAGTAAACCTGTTATATTTACAGAATCCTCAGGCATTAATAAAGTATCCTGATCCATTGAGCGGTGACGGTCTTATTTATAAAGTCTGAATTAAAACAGAATTTAATGATTCGTAAATGTCATAAACACATATTTTATTCATTATATCAAATAATTCTATTTTATTTATTTGGTTCTGTATTTTTATTCTGAATAGAACAGAAAACATATAAAATGCTCACACTGAGAAAATGAACCATTTTAAGAAAACTAAGCTCATTTTGAATTTGATGGCAGACGCAGGCCGTGTTCCTCGCTGAGCAGCGTCTCCTCTTCTTTGAACAAGATGCAAACCCCAAGTTGCTCTCCGATGCATCAGAGTGTGAATGTCTTTAGAAAAGCACTCAGTTTAGAGATGGTGCTTGTGAGGTGAATGTGGCACACTGTAAAAAAATTGTAATATAAAAGTATTTTACTGTGTATTTTATAGTTTTGTACTGTTTTTCTAGAATATCATTAAATTTACATAAATAGACTGATTTTATATTTCAAATGTAAATTAATATAAAATCACTGTAAATGTAATAAAACATAATTTTCTTGTTTTTTAAATGTATTGTCTGTACATATGCATATTTAGATTGTTAAAATACATTCACAAATGTATCATAATTTCACAAATATTTGTCCGTTATTTGAAAGATTGAACTGTTAAATTCAAATGTAATGCTATGGAAAAATATATAAAATGATTCTTATAAACTTTTTTTACATCAAATAATAATAATTATTATTGTTATTTAGGGCGATCGTGGCTCAAGAGTTGGCAGTTCGCTTGTAATCAGAAGGTTGCCGGTTCGAGCCCCGGCTCGGACAGTCTCGGTCGTTGTGTCCTTGGGCAAGACACTTCACCCCTACTGGTGATGGCCAGAGGGGCCGATGGCGCGATATGGCAGCCTCGCTTCTGTCAGTCTGCCCCAGGGCAGCTGTGGCTACAACTGTAGCTGCCTCCACCAGTGTGTGAATGAATAGTGGAATTGTAAAGCGCTTTGAGGGTCTCAAAAGCGCTATATGAATGCAATCCATTATTATTTAAACCAACTGTTAACTGTATATTTCTGTACATTTAAGTATTATTATTCATATTGCCGCATTCATTGACCTTGTTTATAGGTAATTTCATTGTTTAATCACATTAAAATGTTCCTAATTTAATGTTTAAAAGCACTTGAAAAAGGCAAAATCCCATGTAAAATTAGGGCAACAAACTGTATTGTCATTACTGAAAATAACCGTATTTTCATGAGAAAGTTATTTTCTGTTATTTTATGGTATTATTTTGGCGCCCCAGCTGCCGGAATATTACTGTTTTTTAGGATTTTCTTTTTTACAGTGCATGTTGCATATGAGAATCAGTCCATTTACCATTTAGTCTGCTGCTCAGCAGTGCTCGCTCTTCTTTGTTGTATGTTACATCTTTAACATAGTGGCACTCATGGAGACTGGCCCAGGAACAGCTGGCTCATGCAGGCATGTCATTGGTGGACGATGACGTCGGGGAGCGCTTGATTTTGTTTTGCTCTGCATTTTTATTGGTGGAGGCTGCAGTATCGTTCAGTCGTGCTCATTTAATCGTGGAAAGATAATCACTGAGCATCAAATCTGATTAATTGTGCAGCCCTGATGAACACAACAAACACCTGAAAGCATGAAACTGTGTGCTAATACTTTACCCACGGGCTGTGTGTGATGCATATCATTTGATCACTGTGTGTGTGTGTGTGTGTGTGTGTGTGTGTGTGTTTCTGTGTTGTGTTGTGTGTGTGTGTGTGTGTGTGTGTGTGTGTGTGTGTGTGTGTGTGTGTTCCTGTCTAGCTATCTTTGTGAGGACCGAAATCTGCATTCTACTATACTTGTGAGAACCAACAGTCACTTGTGAGGACACACAACCGGTCCTCACAAATTGAAGGTTTTTTACTGCATTTTACTTCAGTGTGTAGTTGGTTTTTGTGTAGTTGTGCATGTTGTTGCTGATTGTTTAAAAGCTGTAAGAATTTTTTTTAAAGTAACAAAGTAACACAATGTGAATCTTACAGGTCAGAAAAAACTGCAAAGAAAGACCTTACTGAGAAAAAAGAAGCTAATTTCACTCAAAGGCAACCAGCAGCTGCCAACGACTTTTAAGGAGGTATGCCATACCTCCTTAAACTCACACTCACTGTTGGTAAATTCATTATGAAATATGAAAAAATGACTTATTCTGCAAAAAAAAAAAAAACATCAAAAGAAACAATTCCCCAGAGTTTTTACCAAACACAGGATACTTTGTGAAAACCAGGATTTACATTAGACCTCAGGTCCTGCTGCTCAGACCGCTTTCTCATTTCTCAGTTTCAACATGGTTGATACTTTAATCACATCCTCCTTTTGGGTCTTATTTCCTCCTATCAGCCATGAGGTGAGGGAGACACATGAGGAGAGAGGAGTCGAAGCTGCTTGATAAAGTGCTTTGTTACATTGTACTCTGGAAGAAAAGAAAAAAGAGTGATGCAGAGGGGAGGAGTGTAGAGGTACTGTGGTGTTTGGAGGAGGGACTCCTTCAGTTACAGAAGTGAGGCGTCACAAGTTCCTGGTTTCCAGTGAAGAAGAAGAGAGGCAGCAGTGAACCATCAGAGCCTCATCATGAAAGTCCGTCACACTCTGATCTGCTTCTTCTTCCTTTGTGAGTACATTCACTTGTTCTTTCTGTCACTCTCCTTCTTCAACATGTTTCTGTTGTTAAACATGATGATCAGAGTCAGCTATGAGTCACTTTCATGGACGCTTCCATTCTGACTCTGGTTGCAAACTGCTCGGACACAAACCTCCTCCTGCTGCCAACAACAAAGAAACTGTTTTTCTTTCTTTTATTCCAATCCTCAGAGTTTGTGTTAAGTTTGAGGTTTAATTTTTATTCAATGTGTGAATTTGGATTTCTATTTAGGTTTTTATTGTTATTCTACTGTTTGTTTTAATTATTGTTAGGTATTTTGGCTGAGCTTCATTCTAGTATTTTTGAGTGTTTTCAGTTATTTTTTAATTATTTGAGTTCTTGCCTGAGTTTAGATTTTTATTGACCTGTAGACTAAAGCTTAGCCTCCCAGTTCTAGTTTATGTTCTTCTTCGTTCAGGTCCAAATTTAGTCTGCTTTCTTAAGTCGACAGCTAAAATATTTTAGTGGGAAACTAGCTGGGCAGATGCTGACATCTCGTGGGACTTTAACTGATCCCTGACAAAAAAACTAAAAAACTAAAGTCGTATTCGTCAGCTACGTGATGGTTTCTATGTGCTCGTCAGGAGGCACCGCTGCTTTTAAACTGGCCTGTTCTGTGATTGCCTTTAGCCTTGAAGATTTAGGACTTTTCATTATAATCCTCTGTTTCTCTCTCTTTAATTTGATCGCCCTTACGTCAGATTTTTCTATCATCACGTTTAGAGAAGTGTGGAGATTTACTACTTATGTCATACGTAAAACAAAGTGTTACGAGTAAATAAAGTAATGGTTTCATCTTCTAATTTTTTTCAGTAAAATTTCTTCCATTGCATTTTTCATAGCTAAGCATCCATCCCATAAT